ACAGCTGCATGTTCCCATGTGTGTGGAATATCACAGAGCCTCCTATTTACATTCGCTTTAAAAGCTGAGACATCGCAGCTCACACTGAATGATGATGAGAATCTGCGTCCCGTACCGTCTCCTCTGTGCTACGCTACGCCTGCTCATTGTCTGCAACCCCCACACAAGTGTGCAGCAAGAATAGCCTGACATTAGAGTGTCAGCTCCTCTGTACAGAGACTGATGTGACTGTGGGGGAGGGGACATTAGAGTGTCAGCTCCTCTGTACAGAGACTGATGTGACTGTGGGGGAGGGGACATTAGAGTGTAAGCTCCTCTGTACAGAGACTGATGTGACTGTGGGGGAGGGGGGGGACATTAGAGTGTAAGCTCCTCTGTACAGAGACTGATGTGACTGTGGGGGAGGGGACATTAGAGTGTAAGCTCCTCTGTACAGAGGCTGATGTGACTGTGGGGGAGGGGGACATTAGAGTGTAAGCTCCTCTGGTACAGAGACTGATGTGACTGTGGGGGAGGGGACATTAGAGTGTAAGCTCCTCTGGTTCAGAGACTGATGTGACTGGGGGGAGGGGACATTAGAGTGTAAGCTCCTCTGTACAGAGACTGATGTGACTGTGGGGGAGGGGACATTAGAGTGTAAGCTCCTCTGTACAGAGACTGATGTGACTGTGGGGGAGGGGACATTAGAGATGTGTAATCTCCTCTGGTACAGAGACTGATGTGACTGTGGGGGAGGGGACATTAGAGTGTAAGCTCCTCTGTACAGAGGCTGATGTGACTGTGGGGGAGGGGACATTAGAGTGTAAGCTCCTCTGTACAGAGGCTGATGTGACTGTGGGGGGAGGGGACATTAGAGTGTAAAGCTCCTCTGTACAGAGGCTGATGTGACTGTGGGGGAGGGGGACATTAGAGTGTAAGCTCCTCTGGTACAGAGACTGATGTGACTAGGGGGAGGGGACATTAGAGTGTCAGCTCCTCTGGTACAGACACTGGTGGGACTGTGGGGGAGGGGACAATAGAGTGTCAGCTCCTCTGGTACAGAGACTGGTGTGACTGGCTCAGTGATCTCTGTACAGCGCTGCGGTATATGTCAGAGCTATATAAATGTATAATAATAGTGTGTGACTGTGGGGGAGGGGACATTAGAGTGTAAGCTCCTCTGGTACAGAGACTGATGTGAGTCCCCCCTTACATCTGAATCTGCAGAGTTCCCCTTTACATCAGAATCTGCAGGGAAGCCACAGTCCAGGCCTATTAGAGTGTAAGCTCCCCTGGTACAGAAACTGATATGACTGTGGGGGAGGGGTAAGCTCCTCTGGTACAGAGTGATAAGCCCCCTTACTGGTACAGAGTTCCCCTGATGTGACTGCGGGGGAGGGGACATTTAGAGTGTAAGCTCCTCTGATACAGAGACTGATGTGATTGTGGGGGGAGGGAACATTAGAGTGTAAGCTCCTCTGATACAGAGACTGATGTGACTGGCTCAGTGTAAGCTCTCTGATACAGAGCTGATGTGACTGGCTCATGATCTCTGTACAGCGCTGCTATATATCAGAGCTATATAAATGTATAATAATAGTGTGTGACTGTGGGGGAGGGGGCATTAGAGTGTAAGCTCCTCTGGTATAGAGACTTTGAGAGCATTTCTGGGGGCTTTTTGACGTGTGCTTTGGGTCATTGTCCTCCTGGAAGACCCATGACCTCTGACGGAGACCCAACTTTCTGACACCGGGCCAAGACATCCAGTGCCTGAAGCAGCAAAGCAATCCCAAACCATCAGTGACCCCCCACCATGTGTGACTGGAGGGACTAGATTATTTTCTGTAAAGGCCTCATTGCTTTTTCTGAATACAGTAGAATGATGGACTTTACCAAAAAGCTGCCATTTTGTTTTGTCTGTCCCCAGCACATTCTCCCAGAAGGATTGTGGCTTTCTCAGGTAAGTTTTGGCAAACTCCAGTCTGGCTTCCAATATATTTCTGTGTCTGGCTTCCAATATATTTCTGTGTCAGCAGTGGGGTCCTCCTGGGTCTCCCACCATATTTCTGTGGGGTCCTCCTGGGTCTCCCACCACCCAATTTCTGTGTCAGCGGTGGGGTCCTCCTGGGTCTCCTCCCATATTTCTGTGTCAGCAGTGGGGTCCTCCTGGATCTCCCACCATATTTCTGTGTCAGCGGTGGGGTCCTCCTGGGTCTCCTCCCATATTTCTGTGTCAGCAGTGGGGTCCTCCTGGGTCTCCTCCCATATTTCTCTGTCAGTGGTGGGGTCCTCCTGAGTCTCCTCCCATATTTCTGTGTCAGCGGTGGGGTCCTCCTGAGTCTCCTCCCATATTTATGTGTCAGCAGTGAGGTCCTCCTGGGTCTCCTACCATAGTGTCCCTTTTCATTCAGATGGTGATGTATAGTGCGAGCTGAAGGTCAGCTTGGATTTGTCTGGAAGTTGATGGAGGTTCTTTAGCCACCATTCCAACAATCCTTTGTTGCAATCTTTGATCAATTTTTCTCTTTCGTCCACGTCCAGGGAGATTAGCTACAGTGCCATGGGATGTAAACTTCTTGACAATGTTGCGCACAGTGGACACAGGAGGAACATGAAGAGCCCTGGAGATGGACTTGTTACCTTGAGGTTGCTCATGCTTTTCCAAAATTTCTGTTCTCCAATCCTCAGTCAATTCTTTGCTGCTCTCTCTCTCCTCCATGCTCCATGTGGCCCACAGAGACACCCAACAGAAAGGATGAGTCAGTTTGTCACCATTGTATCTGGTTGTCGGTGTGATTTCTATATCATCAGCGCCTGGTCATGGATACAGGTGAGTTTAATGACAAATTACAGGCTTGGAATGCAATTATTTCTTACCATTTTGAGAAGGTGCCAATAATTTTGTCCATTTTGGGGGTTTTGCGTGGAATGTGTCAGATTTGGCTTTTTGTTTCTCCACTTTTCTGTGTCATACCGATACAAACAAAAGAAATAAACATGAGAATGCTGAAACATTTGTAATTGCAGCGATTTTCTGGGTGAAGTGGTGCGTTATTGGACAAATGCCGGGGGGACAAGATTTTAGTGAATAGGCTTCCCTATGCTGGTGGGATTTTGCCACTGGGCTTGGAGTCCTGAGAAACGGCTTTTTAATAAACGATGTTACCTAATCCAGGGGTTCAAATTTCGAGTCCAGGCCTACTAGCCGGTCACAAAACTTACTCTCCGCCAGTTGCCCCACCCAACCTTGCTCAGGTCCACCCACAACCCCACCCCATTCCCGCCCCCTTAACGCTTATGAAATTACATTTTTCTTTAGAATAAAGAGTCCAAAATATAAACCTGTATATAGTAATGTATATCCCCCCTCCCCTGTACTCCATTATAGTGATAGGACATGTTGTGTACAGTACTTACTGTCCCCCCGAGTCCCCCGTGGCGGTGGAGAGGGTGTCTCCTCTCAGCGTAGGAGAGCGGACCTCTCCTGCACCTGTCCCCTCGGGGGCGGTGCCGCAGAAGCCGGAAACCGGAAGTTCTAAACCGGAACTCGGCTTCACAATGAGGCTTGGAGCGCAGGTGCAGTCGCTCCATGCTTCATCTGTGCTCACTGCTTGCAGCCGCTCGCCACAGAGATATTTCTCCTCGCATTTGGCGAGCGGGCGAGCGGCTTTTTCAAGCCCTGACCTAATCTACTTACCTTTGCATATCCCTCACCTTTCCCCAATGGTGAAGCCTGTAGCTTTTGGTGTTGGATGTCTGGAAAGCTGTACTGAGAAATACACAAGATAACTATTTTACCTCCTCCTGAAATTGCTAGTTTACTGACTGTCTCTGTCTTTACTGGCTTGCATGGCAGTCCTGGAGCAAGCATGTAGCAAATAAAGTCCAGGCATTTTAATACTCCTCTGAGGAGCCCTTCATCTTGATGCAAGAAGTGGGTGGGCTCTTGGGAGGATTTATGTAAATATCATAAGGTGTTGATAGATGGATGTTAGCCTGGAGTAGCGGGCATTCCTATTCAGGATGTATCTGCATAAAGATTGCCCTAGGTGACACCAACGTGTTTCTGAGCGTTCATTGTTGAAAGAACTGAAATCATACCTGTTACCTACAATTCTTTCAGTTGTTTCACATACAACTCTACCTCTTCTTCTCCTCTTTCCATAAGTGGTCCCCAAGGCTCTATTCTCTATCAATACCTCTTACCTTGGTCACTTAATAACCTCCAATGGCTTCCCAGACCATTTCTACGCCAATGACACCCAAGTCTATCTTTCTTCTCCTCAACTCACCTCTTCAATCTTCTTGCACATCACTACGAAATTAACTCACAAATCCGTATGGATGTCAAACCACGTCCTTAAACTCAATCTTTCAGAAACTAAGCTGATAACATTTTACTCCCCCCCCCCCATGCTTTCCAATAGCACAGCTATCTGTCCCACCTCTAGGTGTAGTCCTGGACTACAACCTGCCCATTCAACTTCACGCTCGATATTTAGCCAAATATTGCCACCACCTTTACCTTTGTAACATTTCCTGAGTATCTCTTGCCTCAGACTATCCCCTACTCCGACTCGTCCACCTTACCAACCGCTCAGGGTCCATCACCCCCCTTCTCTCTTCCTCAACAAAAAATGTGAATTACAACATGCTACAAATCAGTATACAACTCTTCCCTGAGCTACATCACCAGAATCATCCCAAAATATCACCCAAACCATTCTCATTGCTCATCACAAGACCTGCTCTCTAGCTCCTTCATTATCCTTTCCCATGTTTACCTCCATGACTTCTCCAGAGCCTCTACCATCCTCTGGATCCTCCTACCCCAGTCTGTCCAGTCAGAGGAGTAACTAGAATCTTCAGGGCCCTGTTGCAAAAAAACATGAGAAATCAGAGGAAGCCGTTTCAGGCCAGGAGAGGAGCCACTACACCTGCACAAGACTGAAGGGGAGGAGCCGAATTGGTACAAGACTGAAGGGGAAAAGCTGACATGGGACAGAAGGGGAGGAGCCGGTACACCTGTGTGAGACTGAAGGGGAGGAGCCGGTACACCTGTGCAAGACTGAAGGGGAGGAGCCGGTACACCTGTGTAAGACAGAAGGGGAGGAGCCGGTACACCTGTGAAAGACTGAAGGGGAGGAGCCGGTACACCTGTGCAAGACTGAAGGGGAGGAGGCGGTACACCTGTGCAAGACAGAAGGGGAGGAGCCGTACACCTGTGCAAGACTGAAAGGGAGGAGCCGGTACACCTGTGCAAGACTGAAGGGAAGGAGCCGGTACACCTGTGCAAGACTGAAGGGGAGGAGCCGGTACACCTATGCAAGACAGAAGGGGAGGAGCCAGTACACCTGTGCAAGACAGAAGGGGAGGAGCCGGTACACCTATGCAAGACAGAAGGTGAGGAGCCGGTACACACCTGTGCAAGACAGAAGGGGAGGAGCCGGTACACCTGTGCAAGACAAAAGGGAGGAGCCGGTACACCTGTGCAAGACTGAAGGGGAGGAGCCGGTACACCTGTGCAAGACTGAAGGGGAGGAGCCAGTACAAGGGACAGAAGGGGAGCCGGTACACCTGTGCAAGACTGAAGGGAGGAGCCGGTACACCTGTGCAAGACAGAAGGGGAGGACCGGTACACCTGTGCAAGACTGAAGGGGGAGGAGCCGGTACACCTGTGCAACACTAAAAGGGGAGGAGCCGGTACACCAGTGCAACACTGAAGGGGGGGCTGGAGTTTAGATTTAAATATCAATTTTATTTCATTTATTAAATACATTAAAAAAACCATATATGCACGCCTCTTCTTTCCCTTTCCTATTTGTCTCGTTCAGCAGTCGGCACGCTTTTGCCGGTGTTTCTAAAGAGCGTTTCTAAAAACCTCCATTGTTTCTAATACCCAAAGTTTTCTGGATGATTTTTCCTTTTATTATTTTTTTTATTCTTGGAGTTGTCGTCGGTGCGATTCTTTGTGTTGCGCTGTTTAGTGCTGTCACCGGGACGTGCCGCTGTGTGTTGTTGGAAACAGGGAGCCCGCGGGCATTCGAATGCAATAATGAATCCTCGTTGCGCTCTTTCTCTCTCTCTCTTTTTTTTTTTTCCTGAGCCTCTTTTCTCTTTCTCTCCGTAGGAGATACCGTCATCCTCGTCTTTCTCTCTCTCGGCTCCGGCTGCATCCTGTACGGGGAGAGGCAGCGCTGATTCAATGAGGCTCTTCCCAATGGATTTTAATAGCCCTTGCTGGCTTGTGCTCTTTTATTTTTAAATGCCTTCTTCTCGGGCCTGGTGAGCTCCTTGACAGCCCTTCATTTAAGGCGGGAGGAGTTCGCTGTGAAGTGAGAGATGAGAGTTCGAGGGAACATGAAGAGTAATCTTAATTATTCGAACAGCGAGTGAGGAGAAGGGGGGGGAGGTTTGGTGACAGTGCACTGAAAACAATAACAGGTCTGCCGTGTTCCTGGCGTCTCGCGCAGTCATTAGGAGATGGTGATCGGCTTCTGCACATGGCAACGCTTCTAATAACCAGTGCCAGATTAAAGGGGCACCTGCCTTGGATGCAGGCTTCCATTGAAAAAAAAATTGTGGCCCCTTCATTATTTCTGAGGACTAAAGAATTCCTCCTCTCTATTTGATGGAGAAGAAAAGAGGGGGGAGGTGGTCTGCAGTTCTATCCCAGTGTGACAAAGCTGCTCTTTCATAGGTACAGTACAGGGAGTGCTGTCACTATAGGACAGTAAGAGTGTTACTGGCAGGATCATCTGGCAAAAATAAAGGATACAAAACCTGCAAAAAGCAAACTAATGCACCCACCGCATCTAAGGATTGGTAAACTGCAATGTATTACATGTTGGTTAATGGGGAGAGGGAGAGATGAGGCAGATTTGATCTTGTAATAAAACTTAGGGTGTATTATTTCAGAGATAATCACCACAAATATTGTACAGAGGCTGAGCAGTATGTAAGCAGTTTGGTAAGGCTGCAATATAAGAGGAGAAACACAAGGCAGGTTTATTCTTTCAATAAACATTAGAGTGTATTATTTCAGAGATACTAGTCAAAATATTGTTCTGTACCTAGATAGTATGTAGGCAGTTTTGTTAGGCTGTAATATATATTTTTCAGTATATACAGTGGGGATCGAAAGTTTGGGCACCCCAGCTAAAAATTTGTATTAATGTGCATAAAGAAGCCAAGGAAAGATGGAAAAATCTCCAAAAGGCATCAAATTACAGATTAGACATTCTTATAATATGTCAACAAAAGTCAGATTTTATTTCCATCATTTACACTTTCAAAATAACAAAAAACAAAAAAAGGCGTCTGCAAAAGTTTGGGCACCCTGCAGAGTTAATATCTTGCACTGCCCCCTTTGCCAAGCTGAGACCTGCCAGTGTCATGGATTGTTCTCAATCATCGTCTGGGAAGACCAGGTGATGTCAATCTCAAAGGTTTTAAATGCCCAGACTCATCTGACCTTGCCCCAACAATCAGCACCATGGGTTCTTCTAAGCAGTTGTCTAGAAAACTGAAACTGAAAATAGTTGACGCTCACAAAGCTGGAGAAGGCTATAAGAAGATAGCAAAGCGTTTTCAGATGTCAATATCCTCTGTTTGGAATGTAATTAAGAAATGGCAGTCATCAGGAACAGTGGAAGTTAAAGCAAGATCTGGAAGACCAAGAAAAATATCAGACAGAACAGCTCCAGAACAGCTGCAGGATTGTGAGAAAAACAATTCAAAACCCACGTTTGACTGCACGATCCCTCCAGAAAGATCTGGCAGACACTGGAGTTGTGGTACACTATTCCACTATAAAGAGATACTTGTACAAATATGGTCTTCATGGAAGAGTCATCAGAAGAAAACCTCTTCTACGTCCTCACCACAAAAATCATCGTTTGAACTTTGCAAATGAAATATAGACAAGCCTGATGCATTTTGAAAACAAGTTCTGTGGACCGATGAGGTTAAAATTGAACTTTTTGGCCGGAATGAGCAAAGGTACGTTTGGAGAAGAAGGGGCACAGAATTTAATGAAAAGAACCTCTGTCCAACTGTTAAGCATGGGGTTGGATCAATCATGCTTTGGGGTTGTGTTGCAGCCAGTGGCACAGGGAACATCTCACGAGTAGAAGGAAAAATGGATTCAATAAAATTTCAGCAAATTTTGGATGGTAACTTGATGCCATCTGTGAAAAAGCTGAAGTTAAAGAGAGGATGGCTTCTACAAATGGATAATGATCCTAAACACACCTGGAAATCCACGGGGGATTACATCAAGAGGCATAAACTGAAGGTTTTGCCATGGCCTTCACAATGTCCTGACCTCAACATAATTGAAAATCTATGGATAGACCTTAAAAGAGCAGTGCGTGGCAGACAGCCCAGAAATCTCAAAGAACTGGAAGACTTTTGTAAGGAAGAATGGGCAAAGATACCTCAAACAAGAATTGAAAGACTCTTGGCTGGCTACAAAAAGCGTTTACAAGCTGTGATACTTGCCAAAGGGGGCAGTACAAGATATTAACTCTGCAGGGTGCCCAAACTTTTGCAGACCCATTTTTTTGTTTTCTGTTATTTTGAAAGTGTAAATGATGGAAATAAAAATCTAACTTTTGTTGACATATTATAAGAATGTCTAATCTGTAATTTGATGCCTTTTGGAGATTTTTCCATCTTTCCTTGGCTTCTTTATGCACATTAATACAAATTTTTAGCTGGGGTGCCCAAAATTTCGATCCCCACTGTATATATTGTTCAGTGGCTGGAAAGTATGTAAGCACTTTGGTTAGAATGCAATATAAGAAGGAGAGATGAGACAATTGTTTCTTACAATAAAAATGAGAGTGCATTAGCTAAAAGACAGTAGCCACATATATTGTTCAGTGGCTGGACAGTATGCAAGCACTTTGGCTAGGCCACAATATAAGAGGGAGAGACAAGGCAGGTTTAATCTTGAAATAAACATTAGAGTGTGTTATCTGAGTGACAATAGCCACATATATTGTTCAGCGGCTGGACAGTATGTAAGCACTTTGGTTAGAACACACTATAAGAGGGAGTGTCTCTCTTGAAATAAACATTGGAGTGCGTTATCTGAGTGACAATAGCCACATATATTGTTCAGTGGCTGGACAGTATGTAAGCACTTTGGCTAGGCCACAATATAGGAGGCAGAGACAAGGCAGGATTGATCTTGACATAAAAAGGCAAGACAAGGCTAGGATTGATTCTTGACAACATTAGAGTGCATTATCTGAGTGACAATAGCCACATATATTGTTCAGCGGCTGGACAGTATGTAAGACCTTTGGCTAGGCCACAATATAAGAAGGAGAGACAAGGCAGGTTTTATCTTGAAATAAACATTAGAGTGTATTATCTGAGTGACAATAACAACATATATTTGTTAACGGGTGACGGTCTGCCTGTGGCATGGCCATAGTGGGCAGCTGGAGAACCCCTAACAAAGACTGACCTTCCAGGCTTACAAGACCTTGCCCCATAGCTCTCACACTCTTCTTCTTGATGTGCAGGTGCTCCGTACCCAGGTTAGGAACCTCTGCACGCTGATCTTCTCCCATTGCCGTGGGAGACAGACAGCCTGGGGAGTTAATGCTGACAACAACTCCCTCACTGCCAGAGGATGTCCCAACTGTCACAGGTACATGCTTCACGACAGGCTGCTTTCTAACCACTTGGTGTCTTCATACACTAGTCTGTCTACTGACCCAGATTAGAGACTAGGTGTGGTGTCATTTACTTTAGTAACTTTAGACCAAAGACAAAGTTTCAACACTTTACTGAACGATTTAGTCATGACAGGTGACAACATGAGAGTTCTTCGATTCACTAGTCCCTAACGTAGGCTTAGCTGCCCTGGCATATCTGTCTAAGTGAGAGTCTATGTTAACTCCTTCACGCCTGAGGGTAAAACAAATCTAAATGCCTAAACACAATTCTGCAACGTTAACATGTGATAGTAAAACTGTACATATCATCACCACTACTTTGTACATTCAGGTGGATTATACCTTGATTTTTTTCAGGACAAATTGGGCTTTCATTTGGTGGTAAATGGTAATAGATATCTCCTGATTTTTTTTTATTATCAAAGGAAAACTGGCCAAAAATAGTAAAAAAACAAAATCCTTTTTTTTATTTAGCTGTGTGTTTCTTGTTACGACCACAACCTACCACCAAAGAAACACCCCAAAATAAATTTTCGAGCTCTTGATGATCGCAGCAATACCATCTATGTGTATGTTATTTGTTGTTTATACCCGGAGTACAGCCCAGAAACAATAGTGCACATTTTTTGTTTTTGTATTTTTTTTTAACCTAAAAACACACTGACACTGACACTGATACCAATTTTTTTTTTAATCCTCACCTTTGACCCTGACCTTGACCTAAACACTGGTACTGAACTAGATCAAACCTTGATCTAGGTATTTTTCTTTATTTTTTCTTTTTTAATATTTATTTATTTATCTTTTTTTTACAAACTTTTTTTTTCTCTCTATGCCAGGAGTTAGAGAGATACAATGTATCTCTCTTCTACATTCACAGAGATAGAAAAAAACAAGGGGGCTGGG